GCACACCAAAATATAATTAGGCTACCAAATTTGAAAAAAGTGTAATTATATCATTGAACAACACAAAAATATGTAATTAGATCCAAATATGACCTGTTTACCTGAAAGGGTGGTTACCAATTTTAAAATTATTTTTTAAAATAAAATTTAATTAATTAATTAATTTTTTTTAAAAAAAAACTAAACTGCCGGCCGGCTTCGTCTCCATGGCCGAAGACGATGCCGACCGGCAACCATGGAGACAAAGGTCCCTTTGTCTCCCAGTCATGGAGGTGAAGGTCTTCGGTCATGGCATGGAAACGAAGCCGGACGTCAATTTTTATTTTTTTTTAATTTAATTTAATTTAATTTAATTTTATATTAATTAATTATTTATTTCATTTAAAAAATTTTAATTTTAAAATCAAAACCCTTTCAGGTAAACAAGTCATATTTAGGTCTAATTTCATAAATTTGTATAGTTCAGGGACTCAATTGCATCTATTTTGAGTTCGGTGGCCTAATTACATTTTGGGATACAGTTGAGTGGCTTATTTGACCCTTATTCCAATTCTAAATATAAAACCTACAAACTAATAATAAAAATAAAAATAAAATAAAATGAGAACAATTTTGATTAACATTGCTTTCTCCACAAATCTAGAATCTCCAAATCGAATTTTCATTACTCCATGAAGTTAGGAAGCTTCATTGCGTGCCACACTAACACAAATTAATAGGGACAACGTCTCCATTTACCTTGGGAACTTTGTATATGAATATGAACTATTTTGGCTTTGTTGTTGACTTGTTGATAATCCACATTTTGATCACAATTTGAGGAGAAGAGTACTGAGTTTTTACAAAAAAGCTTCGCGATTTGCAAAAAGGGGGTTGTAATTTAATTAAAATGGAGTAAATGAGTTGAATTTTTCATTTTGCCCTCCATTTTAACGCCAATGTTAACGGAGCACCAATATGGTTTAAATTTCAATTGTCGAATGGAACCAATTTCAGAAAAATACCTACCAAATAAAAGGCCTGTTCAGGAAGACCATCTAATTCGCCAGAAAGGATCAATTGAAATCCTATAATCGTTTCTGCTGGGCCAACATATTTTCCTGGAGAACCAGTAAATACTTTTGCTACGAAAAAGGGTTGTGATAAGAAACGCTCAACTTTTCACGCTCTTGCTATGGTTAAGCGATCGTCTTCGGATAATTCGTCCAACCCAAGAATAGCTATAATGTCCTGAAGCTCTTTGTAACATTGTAAAGTTTGCTAAACTCTTTACGCAATTTCATAATGTTCCTCACCAACAACCCGATGTTGAAGCATCGTTGACATTGAATAAAAAAATTATATATATATATATATATATATATGACCACCATTTATTTGTAATAACCACCATCGTAAGTACTTTTTTTTTTTTTATATGAAGTTTTATTTTTCAAGGGCAATTTGATCTTCCAAATTCTTATCATAAATTTTTGACCTTAAACTATTCATGAAAATGTAATTAAGCTGTCAAAGTAGAAAAAGTTCTAATTAGACACTTGAATTTAGAAAAAAAAAATATAATTAACCCTACTATTATTATTATATTGCAGAATTTAGAAAAAATACAATTAACCGTATTTAAACTGTTGTTATATTGTAGATAATCTCCAAGTTTAAGGTGATTTAAATGCTACATTAATATGCCACATTAATATGTTTTATTCATTTATTTTTGTTTTCTTTTTTTTTTTTTTTGTTTTTTTGTTTGTTTCCTTGTTTAATAGGAGGGACCCGGCTGCGTTGGCCGAGTTTCACCAGATTGATGTGCTCTTAACCCGGCTGGAGGCGCAAGAGGATGTGTTCTGGAGACAGCGTGTGAAGCAGCACTGGCTCCGCGGTGCAGATGCGAATACGAGATTCTATCACAGGTATGCTTCTGCTCGTAAAAAAAAGAATACTGTGAATAGAATTTTAAATAATGATGGCATGTGGGTGGAAGGGAATGATATGTGCTCTGTTATCCTTGACTATTTCCGACAAATTTTTACAACTGAGAGTACTGTTTTTGATGATGCTATGATTGAAAATTTTGTCCCGCGAGTAACGCGTGCTCAGAATGAATCTTTATTGCGTCCGTTTGGCCAGAAGATGTGAAGGAGGCAATATATTCCATGTATCCTGACAAAGCGCCGGGCCCGGATGGAATGAATCCAGGCTTTTACCAGCACTTCTGGGATGTAGTAGGGGGGATGTGTCTGAATTTATAATAACCTGTTTGAATACAGGCAATCTTCCTGATGGCATAAATGATACGAATATTGTTTTAATCCCGAAAAAGAATGTGCCGGAAAGGGTGGCTGATATGAGACCGATCGCTCTTAGTAATGTTATTTACAGGATAATGGCTAAGATGATAACGAATAGGATGAAACCACTTATGGGGAGTCTAATCTCAGAGTCTCAAAGTGCGTTTATCCCGGGACGCCTGATCACAGATAATATTCTTGTTGCAGCAGAAGTGGGGCATTATTTGAATAGGAAGCAATGTGGGCAAACAGGATGGAGTGCATTAAAACTTGACATGTCAAAGGCTTATGACAGGATGGAGTGGTCGTTTCTGCAGAGAATGTTGGGTGCTATTGGGTTCGGTCAGTGCTGGGTTACCCTTATTATGCATTGTGTCACGACTGTGAGATATACGATTATGGTCAATGGGGTGGCTGGTGGGCGGATAGTACCTACGCGCGGCCTCAGGCAAGGGGATCCTCTATCTCTCTATTTGTTCATTATTTGTGCAGAGGGGCTTTCCATGCTGTTACGGAAGGCACAGTTAGATGGGGCAATTCATGGCTGTAAAGTGGCACGAGGGGCACCCGCGGTGTCCCATCTATTTTTTGCAGATGATAGCCTCCTGTTTTTCAAAGCTAATATTGAGGAAGCGGGTGTAATTAAACAGGCTTACACCAATATGAAAAGTTGTCTGGCCAAAAAGTGAATTATGACAAGTCCAGTATATGTTTTAGTAGGAACACTCAAGGGGAAATAAGGGGGAAGTGGCGGCGTGTTTAGGGGTGAGTCAGGCGGCTAATTTTGGAAAATATTTGGGTCTCCCATCGTTTGTAGGCAGAAATAAGAGAGCTGTTTTTTCCTATGTAGAGGACAAGATCAGGCAAAGAATTGGTTCCTGGAGTAAAAAGTTACTTTCTCAGGCTGGTAAGGAAGTACTCTTGAAAAGTGTGGCACAATCTATGCCAACCTTTTCTATGAGTGTTTTTTTGTTACCTGAGACAGTTTGCACATCAATTGAGAGGGTCATGAACAGATATTGGTGGGGTTCTGGAACGGATAGGAGGATACATTGGAAAGCTTGGGATAAATTATGCGTCCCTAAAAAGTATGGGGGACTGGGATTTAAAGATCTACGGGCTTTTAATTTGGCAATGCTGGGTAAACAGGCATGGCGATTTCTCACAAACCCCGACACTTTGGCGGCAAGAATATATAAAGTCAGGTATTATCCGAATACATCTTTTGTTGATGCCACCATAGGGAATTGCCCAAGTTTTTTGCTGGAGAAGTATGGCTGCACACGGAATGGTTTGTTCGGGGGTAAGGAGGCGTGTAGGGAATGGACAAAAAACATTGATATGGGGACATCCCTGGTTACCAGATAATCCCAGTCCGTTGATCCAAACAATAATGCCCCAGGAATTACGACATGCCCATTTAGCAGGTTTGATTGACCAACAGACTAATACCTGGGATCCGCATATTCTGACTGACTTATTTATTCCTGAGGATGTCACACGTATTTTAATGATCCCTGTTAGCCCGGAATATGAAGACACGTGGTATTGGAAGGGTGAGATGAATGGAATATATTCAGTTAAAAATGCCTATAGACAGATTAAGGGGGATTATGAGCATAGCCCAGGTGAGTTTGATAAATGGGTTACTATGTGGAAATTGAAAGTGTCACCCAAATGGAAAACCTTCCTGTGGAGAGCAGTCTGTGGAATCCTCCCTACTACAGACAATCTAATAATGCGACGAGTTGAGATTGACCCACTTTGCCCAATGTGCCAAGGGACGCAAGAAAATGTCATGCATACATTACTCTTGTGTGATTATTCTAAATTAGTATGGTGTTTATCGGGGTTGCCTGTAACCAATATACTTACTAATTCATTGTCGACATGGCTTATGGGAATTTTTACTGTCTTGACAGAGGAACAGTGTGGTCTAGCAGTGGCTATATTGTATGCTATCTGGAGTGCCCGCAATACGGCGGTATGGGAGCAGGCTCTCCCAAGACCGAGTCGCACATGGAACCGAGCGGTGGCGGCCATGCAAGCATATCGACGAGTGCAACCCACGACAGCTACACCGGCACCTACTGCCGTGACCGATCACGCTGGCGGCAGTGTTCCGCGCTGCTACGTCGATGTGGGGTTCAGGCCGGGTACTGGGGAGGCGTCGTACAGTGTGGTTCTCATCTCGCACCATGGCTCGTTTATTGCGGCAGCAAATGGGCGGCTCGCGGGGGCATTCTCACCTACTATGGCCGAAGCACTGGCCTGTAAGGAGGCGCTTTCTTGGCTTAAGGATCGGGGTATCGTGGAAGTGGACATTCTGACGGATTGCATGGACTTACAAAATATTATGCGCTCAAGCCACACGGCTAACTACTCCTACCTTGGGATCGTTGTGGACCAGTGTAGGACAGCTATATCATTATTTACGAGATGTTCTTTAAGTTACATTTCTAGAAATTTAAATTTACATGCTCATACTTTAGCTTCGCTAGTTTTCGATCAGGACCAACCTATGTATTGGGACTCTGTCCCTCCTGACTCTATCATTCAATTTATTCATTAATATACCGCATGAAAATTTTTCAAAAAAAAAAAAGCTAGCCAAATGCATGCATTCCTAACTAGTTTGTTCATGCGGCGTTAGATCAGAGTTAAATAAAGAAGCAGTAAAAGAGTGCAGTTAACCGGAGTACATAGAGAAAATGAAAGGAAAATTTGCGTAACTTGATTACTTCAACACTGCCTCGCATTTACAGCAGAAAATTATGCTCTAACTAACATTCTACCTACACTATATATGTAAACCATGGCCAAATTTTGGGCCGCGCAAGATGAGCAATAGCACCCAGGACCTCAATTTTTAGAGGACTCAATATTTATTTTTGACCTTAACTAGTTAAAAAATTAAAAAAAAATTATAATTTATCCTAAAACTATTCCTATACTTTTGATAGGGCCTCATTTGTTTATAAGACTCGAACCACAAAAATTCAAAAACCGATCTGATGTTAAGTGATCTGATGTGCATTTTATTGTGAGGTTGCCAAAACTTTAATAATTGAATTATTACCCGACATGATGGATGGATGCGTTTTATCGGGAGTTTTTACCTTCGAATGTCTGGCCATATTGCCACGACTTGGGGGCAACTTTCCGGGAAGTAACTGCTTTCCCATCTTGTGTGGTGACCTTAAAATCCAGAGCTTTCCCAGACAGCGGTGCATTGGTCTCCCATTTCTCACCCCAGTTGCGTTTTAGCGGTACCCACTTCTTCTCCCCGTCAGCATTATCCTCCACATCCACCTTCGAAACATCTCCGCTTCCTCCAACGTTTGACACCGTTACTAGGTTAAAGTACTCATGTCCCGCAATTGTAAACCGTTCTCCTCCTTTTCTCGAGCATGGAACCCTAACACCCGATATCAGCTAATGTTATCAGTCAGTCAATTAGTCGAACGTAATTAACTCAATCTGCTAACAACATGCAGCTATTTACGTACTTGCTATACTGGACATGAATAAACCCAGCTTTGTACTCTCCAATTTTGAGATACGCAGGCATGGATAGGTCAAAATGTGCCCGCGGCGGAGTGCACCATTTTCCATCTCCGGTTGGGCAAAGATCGGTGGCGGTAACGATGATGGGATTTTGTGTCTTGCATTGCCCTGTGTTATTTACACATCGTAATGCATAGCATGCTCCGCAGCTCTCTGCATTTTTGAACAATGCTGCACTCAATGCTGTAGTGTATGGGGCATAGGTGTCCTTTTGGTTTTGAAGCCCACAAGCCCCGCCTGCATAATATATTTATATATTAATCAATTGCTAATTATGAACATTAAACAAAACAAAATAATGCATATATATATATATACCAACGGTTCCCTCAGGCGGGCCATAAAAGGTGGCATGAGCTTCCGACCATCCAGAATTGCCGTCGCCAAATACACACGGCAATGCACATAACACAATCAACAATGAGGCTGCTTGCAATTCTGTTGCCATGGCGGCAGTGATGATCAATACGTTAGGCTAAAGTTTGTTTTTTTTTTTTTTTTTGAGATCATAAACAATATAATGTAATATATCCAAACAAATTTGGATTTGTTTATGAGCTCAAAAATACTGTTTAATTAATTTATTTATTTATTTTTTTTTTTTTTAAATTTCAATTTTATTTTTTTGAATATATACAGTAGCAAAGTGTGGTCATTTTTTATTTTGGTTGAACGGGGGTTAAAACAAATTACTTTTTGGTATATATATAGTATGTAGTAAAGTGCGGTACTTTTTGTTTTTGTTTGAATGGGTAAAAACAAATTGATGGATGGGATCCAATCCCGGTGTTTTAATCTTCACATCATTTCTGAGGCTGAAAATAGTTATATTCCACAAATTTCTATTTGTACATTCAATATGTACCATACAATATGAGATTAATTAATAATAGCTCATCAACTACAAATTAAATTATCTATATGAGAACATAAGCTTGGACATATTATATATATAAACACTGTGATTTTTAATTTGTGTCTATAAGAAGTTCTTTCTGTGAGTAATTAGTCGTCATTCATGACATTTTGCTAAATGTTGAAAAAAAAATCCACCTATATATATGCATCGATATATATTGAAATTAATTAAAAATATTTGATTTGCTAGTTTTTCTTTTGTTAAAAAAGAATTTTATCATTCTTTTCTTTTCTTTTTCTCCCTTGTTAACTATATTAAATGCAACAATTTTTAAATTATGATTACTTTTTTATACACTTAATTATTTTTCTACAGTCAAGCACCTTGTGCTTAGATGACATGTAGTAACTTCTCCCATGTGGGAGGTTATGTATTATCTACTTATATTTTTACTATTTCAGTTTTCTCATTAAAAATTTAAATCATAGGGCAACCTTGCTAAGATATTTGACTAGTAATAATTATTATATATAACTTGGTGGTCCCATTTAGGCTAAGAAAAAGTCTAGAGCGAGGTTGAATAAACTTTTTCAGCTTTTTGCAAAGTAGATATATTAAGGTAAGTATTTGTATTTGGTTGTATATAATATTAATAAGCGCTAATTCTAAATACATTTATATGCACAATTGGTATCAAACTCATGATTTTATGTTAATTGAAAGCTAAGTATATGCTTATTTGATTCCTTTGTATCAATTAGTTAGGTGATTTGGAGGCATTGATTGTAACATCAAGTAAGTTGGAGCTCAATGTGTTTTGAAAGCATCTTAGCAAAAAAGCGTGTTCCAAGAGTCATGAGAGGTCAAGATAGTGAAAAAGAGCGAGTTGAAAGTATCAAGACATGATTCGGGGACGCAAAGGAATAAAGGAGATGAAGAAATCTGCATTTTGCAGTGAATATCATGGCTCATACTGGCATTCACACCATGAGTGCCAGATTGACTCCATTTTTCTCTACCAAGCGACGTCTCAGTATTTTAAGCATATCTCAGCGTAGGAATATTCAAATTTAGTGATTCCAACAGCATTGAAAAGATATTTCAAAGAGATATATACAACCTCAATGAAGACAACAAAGTCCAATTTTTATGTCTACAAGGTAATAAATAGCCTAGAAACCAGAAGTGCTACGAGGAGTAGAGACTCACACCGTGACCACACGTCCAGTAACCTTTCCTAAGTAGTTATTTTTGCGTGGATTTGAAGTATAAATATCTCGGAGTGATTATTTTTAGGAAACATTTCATTTTCACCCTCTCCAAACATTTTATTTGTGTAATCAATCCAACTTTGAAGAACAATTTTAGATTTCATCTTACAATTTCAAGATTTCATTTCCCTAATATTCTTAATCAAATTAAAGCTAAGTCTTTCTTATTTCTTTCTTTGCATTTTATTGCTTCCAATTGCTATTGCAAATGTCTTTAATTTCAATTATTGCGTAGCTAGATTCAATTAGGGGTTGGATTATAAGTCATATTTTGTGATTGATGCTTTGTGATTAAATTGTTCTATCAGCTAGTGTAATGACTTGATGATGACTCTAGTTGTGAGCTGAGCTTAGTGGTTTGTTTTGACTCTTTGTGTGATTGTGGCCAGATTGTGCAAGTGGTACTTGAATTGGAAAAGGTCTTGTTACTATGAGAATAGGACAACACCATAGCCACACCTCTCACATGTCCAATTCTCAGCTCCTTTGAGAAAAGGGAGTTGGAAGGAGACATGAACACTATGTATTTGATGAATTGCTTACTTCTTCTTGCTTACTGCTTCAATCCAGTCAGTATGCATTGAGATTTCATCAAATTGCTATACAAGTATAAAGAAAAAAAAAAAAAACGCTTCTTTGATGTTACATAATGTTTTACACCTCCCTAAATTTATTGCTATATACTGTTTTCATCAAATTGCTATATACAAGTATAAAGAAAAAAAACGCTTCTTTGATGTTACATAATGTTTTACACCTCCCTGAATTTATTGCTATTGATAACCATGTTTTCTTTGAGTTTCATCCCACTTTTGTTTTTCTTGGGATCTCACATAATGTCCCCAAGTTTACTACCCCATTCTTATGTGTTCAATGCTTTGCTATATATTTTGAAACAAAATTTTGTTCCTTATATATTTCATTCTTTATTAAATACGGAGTAACATTTTTATTCCTTCAATTCAGAATTCATTGCGTGAACTGAACATGCTGTAATAGTACTTGTTTTTGTCGAGACTGAACACCAAGCATGGTTCCAAATTTAAATACCATTATTCTTTACCGTTAACCGGAGATAAGAAAAACTAAAGACAACAATATATAACTCCAACAAAAAAAATTTCTACTTACTACTTACAACAAAACATGCACGAAATCAAATTCAACGCAATTAAATGCATATATAATTAAAGCTAGTCGGAGATTTTGGCTTCAAATGTCTGGCCGAACATCCACGACTTGGGGGCGGCACTGTGAGAAACTGTCTCTTTCCCGTCCATGGTGATGACCCTGAATGTGAGGGCTTTTCCGGTCAGCGTTTTAGCGCCTTCCATTTCTTCTCCCCATCAGCTTTCACCTCCAACTTTTTAACATCCCCACCTTCCCCAACATTTGTCACCGTTACTATGTTGAAGTACGAATTTCCAGATATCTTAAACTTACCTCCTCCCTTTCTCTTGCATGGAACACTGCATGCATGCCATGAAATATTGAAACGGATCAGAATATAATGCATTCACTCGACCAGGATCCACTTTACGTTGTGGACTCTGATCCAAAAATTTTATGTCATCTACTTTAATATATAAAGAAATCACTGCTGGAAATTATCTAATTTCCGACCACCTGATCTTAAATCAAGTTGAAAGTAAAAAGTGGTCGGAAATAGCAACAAAGGTTTTTTTGGATATTAAAAGTGATCGGAACAAGACTTTCGACTTGATTTAAGATCAAGTTCAGGTGGTCGAAAATTCCATAATTTTCAGCAGTGAATTGTGATTTTAGACCAGGATCCGCAATGCACGGACCTGGTCCATGCATGCATGTAGGTACCTGCGATACATGACCGGAACATGGCCACCTAAGTGGTCGGCAATTTTGAGAAACGCGGGTTGAGATAAGTCGAAATGTGGGAGTGGTGGGGTCCACCCACGCAGCCGAGGGTACAAATCGGTGACGGTAACCACCACCGACTTGTGCCCTTTCTTGCAATACATTTTGCTCTTTACGCATCTTACTTCATAGCACCCTCCGCACCCTGCTGCGTTTTTGAACAATGTTGTGCTCACAGCTGCAGTATATAGGCCGTAGGTTTTCTTTTGTTCCTCGTACCCACAAGCGCTGCCTGCATTATTAATTCAATTTTTTACTTTTCTAAACTCTTAAACATTATATATATTAATTAAACAAAATGCATATATACATACATACCAACGGTTCTAGCCGGGCTACCAGAATATGTGGCATGACCCTCCTTCCATTCACTCCAGTGGGCAAATGCACAGGGCAACACAACCAACACAATCAACCATGATAACCATAACGGGGCTCGCAATTCCATTATAATTATGATGAAGCTAAAATAATTTTTAGATCATAAACAAAGAATTTAAAGGAATTGAATTTGTTCATGAGCTTTAAAAAAAATAGCTTTCTACTTTCCGATCCTTTATTATTGTTTATATACTTTCAATGTTGCTTAGTAGCAGATTATGATCATTTTTGTTGGGTTGGGTAAAGAAATGGATGGATGAAATCTAATTGTGCTGTTCAGGTTGTTCAGATACATTAATCTTCATTCCCTTATTTATTTGTGGTTAATTTCTGTCTAGAATGATCCGAAAATGATTATAAACCACAAATATTTACGTGCAATATATACCAATATACCATACTAACCTTGGGTGTGGAAATTGATAGTAAACCCATTATATTAGTTGAAGTTATGGTAGGTCTATACGAATGTAATTTCATTTTCCTTCTTTTGCTTCATTGCCGGGAATCAAACCCGGGTCTCCTGGGTGAAAGCCAGATATCCTAACCGCTGGACGACAATGGAGGCCTTATAGGAATGTAATTTAAGACCCAATCTGAACACCGTAATTGACTTTTTAGTCCTTTATGACATTAGCATATTGTGAGATTTAATTTGGATCATGTGTCTAAAGGAAAAAGCGAAAAGCATTTCAAATAATATTTTTAACCCTTGTTTGTTTGTTTTAATTCGCATCTACAAGATTTAAGGAAAAATGATATTTTCGTTACTAGGTGATAATAATATTTAATTGGCATTGCTTAGATTTAAAGAAAAAAAAATGATATTTTCAAGGTAACAATTGATGTAAATATATCTATTTTTTTGAATGTTACTGATTTATTACATTGTAGTATCTGTTCAAACATACTTTCTCAATCTATATGGGAAAGGTCACTACATGGCACAAGGTGCTTGGCTGGTAAATATATCGATCTATTTATGTGGTCATTATTTTAGTTTTACTCTCCCATGAGGCCATGATTAGAGACATTTTTCGGTGTGTTATTGTATATGTCTATTAGAGTAGGGTTTCCGAGTTCTTATCTCTCTGCTCTCTCTCTCTCTTATGCGTGGAATTTGAAAGACAAACAAATTAAATACCCAAAAATCATAACTAATTACTGCAATTTTCATTTGGATGGACAAATTAAACATGATCAAGAATAGTAACTAATTTCTTTCATTTCTTTCCAACCCCTTGCCTATCTCTTAGAGAACCATACCCTTTAATTTAAAGATAATTATTAGATAGCAAAACATGATTGTTTGCCCATAAAATCAAGTGTACTGTAATCTTGAACACAAATGTATAGTTTTTCCCATTCCGAGCAGGTACCCATACCGGCCATTGAAATGTGTTGAACTTGCTAACCAACCAACAAATTAAATTTCTTGAATTGAACATTTTATTTTTGTTTACTCAAATTCATTGGAGTACAATATTGTATTATATTACGAAACATCATTACTTCAACACTGCCCGACGGCATTTACAATTTACAACTAAGGTAGCGCATGTGCAAAACAAAAACCAAAAGATTGTGTTGTGTTGAGTTGAATCAAACGTTTTTGCCTTCGAATGTCTGGCCGTACTGCCACGACTCAGGGGCGACATGCTTGGAAGTAGCTACTTGCCCTTCGCATGTAGTGATCCTAAAAGTCAGAGATTTCCCAGACAAATCTATATTGGTCTCCCATTTCTCACCCCAGTTGCGTTTCATCTCTATCCATTCTTTCACCCCATCAGCTTTCACCTCCACCTTCTCAAGGTCTCCGCCCCCGGCAACATTCGTCACGGTCACCAAGTTAAAATTAGGGTTCCCCGTGATCGTAAACTTCACCCCGCCCTTTCTCTTGCACTGAACCTTACGGTACTTCACCGGAACCACGCCGCCTTCGTGCTCCGCGATCTCGTGAAACGCGGGCTGGGACAAGTCGAAATGTACGTGCGGCGGGCTGCAGCGGGCGTCGCTCGCGGGGCACGAATCCGTGACGGTGACCTCCACGGGTTTGTGGCCTTTCTTGCAAAACTCGGATTCTACGCATTTTATTTCGAAGCAGGCGCCGCAGCTTTCTGCTTCGTTGTATAATGCTGGGCTCAGAGCTGCGGTGTATGGGGAATAGATTTGTTTGTATTCTTCGAAGCCACAAGCTCCGCCGATGGTGCCCTCAGGGGCGCCATAATAGGTGGCATGAGCTTCCTTCCATTCACTCTTATGGGCAAATACGCAGGGCAACGCTACAACCAACACAATCAACAATGACAATCGCATTTCTGCTGCCATGGCGATCAAGCTAAGCTAAAACTGTTTTTGAGATCATAAACAAAGATTAATCCAAAGGGGAATCTGCTTATGATCTCAAAGAAACGTTGTTTTTATTATTTTTCTTTATTATTATTATTATTCTGGATATACTTTCCATTTGGGTTTCGGGTATATATAGTAGAAGATTGTGGATGGTCGTTTTTGTATGGGTTTGAGTGGGTAAAAACTAATTGATCTAATTGTACGGTTCAGGTTGTTTAAAGATATATTAATCTCCGAAAATGATTATAAACCATATATTTGTACATGTAATATTTACGGAGTAATAGTTATTAATGATAATCTTGATTTGCATTTCTAATTCATTGAAATATTGTTGTTTGTTGACTCACCTTGGTCTAAAATACGATCAAATCAAACACTTTATGCTGACATAAAATTTAAATAACACTACTGGAAATTCTGAAATTTCTGACCACCTGAAAATGATCTTAAATTAAGTTAATACCAAAAAGTCCAAAAAGTGGTCGGAAATAGCAACAAAGGTTTTTCCGGATACCAAAAGTGGTCGGAAAAAGATTTTCAACTTGATTTAAGATCACTTTCAGGTGGTCGGAAATTTCAGAATTTCTAGTAGTGTAAGCATAACTTTACTGACTTGGTAATTTATCACCTTGTTGACCATTAAACCCATTGAAACTCATAAAACAAAGGCCCAATTCTCTCTCTTCAAACTCCTTAGCGGTTCTGGTATTATGGCGTTCATCTTCTGACTACCAATGGATGAGCTACTAGTTCTTGCATCTTCTATGTGATTGATAAGCGTTAATTCTTACTATTTTTATATGTGCATAATTGACATCAAACTCAAATGATTTTATGTAAATTGGATACTAACTATGTGCTTATTCGATCTCTTTGTGTCATTAAGGTGATTTGGAGGCATTGATTATAAGATCATGTAAGTTGGAGCCCAATTGGATGTGTTTTGAAGTCATATATATTTGCACAAAGGTGTGTTAAGAGAGTCATGAGAGGTTAAGAAAGTGAAAAAAGAGTGTGTTAGCTGGAAGTATCATGGCATGACCCGAGGATCCAAAGGAGCAAAGAAAATGAAGAAATATGCACTTTGGAGTGAAAATCAAAGCCCACAGTGACACTTACAGTCGTGATTGTCAGCGTGACAAAATTCTACTATGTTTTCTCAGTTAGGCAATGTCTCAATATTTTAGTCATATCTCAGTGTAGAAATGTCCAAATCAAGTGATTCAAATGACATTGGAAAGATAATTGAAGGAGCTACAACTTCTATGAAGCTACAAATATCTGATTCGGATGTCTAAGGTAGAAAATATCTTAGAAGTTAGAACTACTGAACAGACTAATTAAACCTAGGGCTCACGATCTGATCTCGATCTACCTCACGGGAGAACTAAGATTTGGTTATTTTGGAGTGATTTTGAGGGGTATAAATATGCTTAAGTTGTTATTTTTAGATCAATTTTTATTTTCCCTTCTCTCAGTAGGTTTTTCTTAAGGAAAAACCTCTCCACAACATTTCTCTTTGTAATTGTACCGTTCCACATTTGATGAAGATTTAAGGCAATTTTCAACTTTTAATTCAACTTTCAAGATTGCATCATCAACTTTTCTTGATCCAAGCTAAGTCTTTCTTGCTTTACATTTTCTTTAATTCAATTGTTCTTGGCTTCAATTTCAATTCATGCTTTTGTTTCAATTCCAAATATGAGTAGCTAGATTCATCTAGGGATTTGGATTAAGATCTTTTGTCACGGATGTTATGTGAATTGAATTGCAATAATGTTAGATAGTATAATGACTCAATGATGGTCCTAGTTGTACGTGAGCTTAGTGATTTATATGAACTCTTGTTTAAGTACAGTTGGGCCTAATTATGCAAGAGGTACATGGATAAAGTGTTGTCACTATGAGAATAATAGAGCAACACCATAGTCACACCTCTCACAAGTTTAACTTTACTTTGAGAAAAAGAAGTTGGAAGAAGACGTGAACGACACATGTTTGATGAATTGTTTTAATTTGGTTTAAGTCACCAAAAGAATGGGACTTCAAGTTAATTGAGAGTTCAATGTCTACAAGAATGGCATTACCACTTAGTAGTCTCTCTAATTCCTAGTAATGAGTAAAGAAATGTAAGCAAATGTGGGAGAAGCTTTAAAATGGCTCAAGCAACTAATTAACTATTGACCAAGTTCAAGTTGAAATGGACACGCTACAAGTATTACAAGAAATCTAAAACTTTGGGAGAAGAAATCTAAAACTATATATATTGATCAAGTTCAAGTTGAAATGGACACGTTACAAGTATTACAGGAAATCTGAAACTATTCCATGATCTCTTCTTTTGAGATAATTAATTATTAACGATATCTAGGAATTGAATTAGCAAGTTTTTCTAATATTCACTTTTGGCAAAAATTTGCGTGAGACCGTTTCACGGTTTCTTATTCGTGAGTCGAGTCGAGTCAAGATGAAATGTAATACTAAATCATGAATAAAATGTTTATTACTTATATGGAAAAATATAATACTTTTACATCTTAATGTAAAAGTATTACATTTTTCTTTATAAGTAACAAAAACTTCACAACATTACTCATAAAGGAAAATATAATACTTTTGATGGAAAAAATAATATTTTACACCAAAATATAAAAGTTACATTTGTCATCAAAAGTATTATGTTTTCTCATAAGTAACAAATATTTTATTCATAATTAATATTACATTTGTATATTGGTCCGACCCATCTCATGAATAAGAATTCGTGAAATGACCCCATA